ATTCTTTGTCAAACAACATATAACCTCATTTTATTTGGTATTATTATATGCATCTAATTAGTTATAATTGAATGTCAAATAAATTTAGTTTCCAATACTGAAATAATAATTAACCAACAATGAGGATGTTATAACTAATGAAATTAACTCGAATTCATCATAAAATTGTGTTAATTAATTACCATTGCACAGTAATAAGAAATTGATACAGTGTCAATTGAAATCAACAAAAAATTATTTTATTAAAAGAAAAACAAAATTAATTATTGAAAAACATCCAATCAAAAAAGATATTTATTTTCAGATAATTCATATTTTTATTATATTTTGAAAATACAACTAATAAATAATAAATAAAAAAGAACTAAAATATAATGAAATAATCAAAAATAATAAAGAAAGAATGAAATTAGGATATAATGAAATAATGATTGTCTCAAAGTATTTTGAAGATATTAATGATTTTATTAATTTAGAAATGGGAATTAAAAGATTTGAAGGGAATATGGAACGATTTCATTTTAATCCAATTCCATTGAATCAATATTCAAGAAAATTGTTTCCTAATATTGAAACATTTCATATTTATAATAAAGAAGATGAAGTGTTTAAAGATGGAAGAATAATTAAATATGTAATATGGTATAAAGTAGAATATTCAAGATATTTAGAAGAGAAAGAAGAAGGAAATATTTGTAAAAATATCGAATATACAAAAGAAGATATAAAGAAATATGGAAATACAATACCAATAGAAGTTAATTCACTTGGAGAATATTGTTTTTATGGATTAAAATCCATTAATATTCCATCAACAATTAGTAAAATAGGAAATAACAATTTTAGTAATAAATTATTAACATCAATCACAGTTGATAACTTGAAATTTATAAGTAAAGAAAGAATATTTATGAATGAACCAGCATTATTAAGTATTCAAACTCCACGTGATATACAACAAATAAACAAGAAAAAAGTAATACGAAGAAATATTAATGAATTTATAATACCAACAACAATCACTAAATTAACAGATGAGTGTTTCAAAGAATGTTACTCATTAACATCAATTAATATACCAATAACAGTTAGTAAAATAGGAAGTTATTGTTTTAGTTATTGTTCATCATTAAAATCAATTAATATTCCACTATCAGTTAATGTAATAGAAAATTATTGTTTTGATGGATGTTTATCATTAACATCAGTTACTATACCATCATCAATACATTCATTAGGAGACAATTGTTTTAGAGGATGTTCAACATTAAAGTCAATTAATATTCCAAAGACAGTTAGTAAACTAGGAAATGGGTGTTTTGAGAGATGTACGTCATTAAGTTTAATTAATATACCAAGAGGAATAAAAGAAATAGGAGGTGGATGTTTTTATGAATGTTTGTCATTAACCAGTATGAATATACCGACAACAATTAGTAAAATAGGAGGGACATGTTTTAATGGATGTAAATTATTGAAGAACATCAATATAAAAAATCTTCAATTTATTAGTGGAAATAGAATATTTTTAAATGAACCAATTTTATTGAGCATTAGAACACCAGAAAATATAAAAGAGATTAACAGAAATGAAATTAAACAAAGAGATATTAATGAATTTATAATACCAACAACAATCACTAAATTAACAGATGAATGTTTTAGTGGATGTACTTCATTACGCTCATTTAACATTCCTACAACAGTAAATGAATTGGGAAGTTATTGTTTTTGTGGATGTTCATCATTAAAATCAATTATTATTCCATCAACAGTTAGTATAATAGGAGATGAATGTTTTAAAGGATGTTCATCATTAACATCAGTTACTAAAACACTAAAAGAATCGAATGAAGAAAATACAAAATGTGTTTTAGTGTAACAGATAATTGAATCAACTACCATTTTTATATTTCAATATATTCTTCTTTTAACTCTTCTATTTTATTATGAATGTTGATTATTTATTCATGTTTAATTATTACCATTTCGACTTTAATACCTCTCTTATTTCTATAAAGTAAATTTCATTTAAGAAAGTTATTCTACGAGTTGAATTTATTATAGTAATGATTGAATTGTTTAGTTTCTCATTAAGTAATGTTATTAAATGAACAGTGTAATTGATGTTGTTATTATTTGTTGTTTCATATAATAATTTTAACATCAAGAAACTATTAAATGATTTGAGTTGAACATTACCACAAAGTACATTCTTCATTATTTAGTTAAAATTCTCTTGAATAAAACTAGTAATTTAATACACATTCAACATACCCAAATAAATATTTCATTACAAATTGAATTATCTTCAATCACTTTGAATTTACATTAATAACGTTATAGAGATATAAAAAATAACAAAAGAGTATTAGAAGTAACTAAAAATTATGTAATGATAAAAAGAAACACACAATCAACTAATATTAATCATAAATGTGTATTATATAAAAATTCAAAGAATATAATGAATAAGAATATAAATGAATTTATGTAAATTGGTATTTTGAGTAAAGAATAAATTATTTTATGTTAATAATAATTAAATGTCAGTATCATATAAACATATTATAAACATGTATAATTTATTAGAATAGTTTGTACAAGAAATATAATTTCAAATTTATTGAATAAAATAAGTGTTATATAAGTTTGAATGTGGTGTAATTTCATTGAATAATTCAAAAGTATTTACAGCTAAATTCAATAAGTTTTGTTTTCTTTGGTATTCTCTTAGTATTTCAGATAAATATCATCAAGACAACATTCAACAAAATGATATGTCATTATTAAAAATAATAATGAATCAAATTAATGAAAATAAACAAAGATAACAGAATGAAACAATGAAACTTTATTGGTGTGTCATTATCTTTGTTATTGTTTTACATTAAAATAATTCATAACACTAATTTGAATGAACTGAATAAATTATATGATTCTTTTGTTCAAAACACTTCATTAATCTTTGTAAAACATCACAAAATCAGCAAATATTCTTCAACTTTTAATAAAAACACAATGAATTAGTATTTACACACTATTACTCAATACTTTCATGACTTTCAAGTAAACAGAAGTATGTATTACCAAAACAAAAGCTTTTAATTTTTCATTGACTCTTATTCTATAATTTATTCTCAACAATTCATACAAAACTTTCTACTGTGTTATGCATTTGTCATGAAAATAAAGAATACCATCACAATCCTCACAACTATATTTTGTCACTATCATTACAACCACATACATTACATTATAACACGTTTTCAGAAAATATTTATGTTATAATGATGTTCATCACAACATATCAATATCTATAATTTTTACTGCTTATTTTCATAATAAATATTGATGCTATGAATAATAAGTGAAAATAGAATATGAAATAAAGTATAGAAACAATCAACTAATCATTGTGTTGTTTATTCACTTACGATAATTAGTAATATGAATTGATAATGAATAAACAGAAATAAACTCAAAACCATTGAATATTCATTCTAAATGAATATAAACTATAAAACTCATGTAAAAACAAAAAGAGATAACAACTCTAACATATGAACAAATAGTTATAGAGAACGACACAACAGAACAAACAGAAGTCAATAACAAAAGATTAAATAGCTGTGTATATATCAACAATGAAATAAGCAAAACACATGAATTGAATTAGATGAAAGAAGAGAAAATGAAATAAAACCAAAGAATAGAATAAATATGAAAGATGTTATTTAAAAAATACATCAACAATTCATGTATTTCATGTAAAAAGTAAGTAGTGTATAACTAAAGACTTGAATAATAATAACAAATATAACTGATATTTGATGAATGAGATGAAAATAAAGATAAATAATACTGAAAATTAAAACAAATCATAATAAAAAGATAGAAGTTAATTACTTATATAATTTAGCAGAAGAATTTGATGTTTCTTCTCCTAATTGGTTAATTAATCTTTTAATTTCATTTTCATCTTCTGATGTAATAACCTTTTTGGATTGATTAATAACTCTTTCTAATTCACGTATTTCAATCTTTTTCTTTAATAACTCTTTTTGAATGTCTTCTGCACTCTCTATCATTTCTTTTAATCGTTGTCTGTGAAGAAGTAATTGCTCTTTTCTCTTGTCTTCTGCAGCATGTTCTTCTCCTTCCTTAACTAGTCGATTGATTTCTTCTTCATTCAATCCACCATTACTTTTGACTTGAATCCCTGTTTTCTTTCCTGTTCCTTTGTCAAGTGCAGAGACTTTTACTATTCCATTGACATCAATGTCAAATGTAACTTCAATTTTTGCTACTCCTTTCTTTGCTGGTGGAATTCCAACCAATTTAAATTCTCCTAACTTTTTATTCTTTCTTGTAACTCTACGTTCTCCTTGAAACACTTTAATATCTACTTCTTGTTGATTATCCATTGATGTGGTAAATTCCTTTGAAACTGATGTAGGGATTGTTGTATTTCTATTGATTAATGGTGTCATCACACCTCCATATGTTTCAATTCCTAATGTTAGTGGTGTAACATCAACAAGAATAATATCCTTTTTCTTCCCTTCAATAATACTTGCTTGAATTGCTGCTCCAATAGCAACAGCTTCATCTGGATTGACATTTTTACTTGGTTTTTTTCCAAAGATTTCTTGAACAGTGTTTTGAATTAAAGGCATTCTTGTCATTCCTCCAACAAGTACAACATCACTAATGTCTTTTTTTCTTAATTTTGCATCTTTCATACATTGAAGACAAGGATATTCTGTTCTTTTACAAATTCCCTTACATAATAGTTCAATTTTTCTTCTACTGATTGTAATTTCAAGTGAATCTTGTCTATCAAGATATGGTAATGAAATTACACTTTCTTCATTTGATGATAATTCACATTTTACTTTCTCTGCTGCTTCTTTAATTCTACTAATTCCTTTCTTATTTCTTTGAAGATTTCGTTTATATTTTCGTTCAAATTCTTTCTCAATATATTGACAAATAGCTTTGTCAAAATCTTCTCCTCCAAGCATTGTATCTCCATTCGTTGCTTTAACTTGGAAAATCCCCTTATTAATATTAAGAATAGAAATATCAAATGTCCCTCCTCCAAGATCATAAACTGCAATATTCTTTCCTTCATTTTCTTTTCTTGTGTCTATTCCATATGCTAATGCTGCTGCTGTTGGTTCATTAATAATTCGTTTAACTTTTAATCCTGCAAGTGTTCCTGCATCTTTAGTAGCTTGTCGTTGTGCATCATTGAAATATGCTGGACATGTGATAACTGCTTCATCTACCCTTTTCCCTAGTTTAGCTTCTGCATCTTTTTTTAATTTCTTAAGAATAAATGATGATATTTCCGATGGAGAATATGTCTTGCCATTGATATAAATCCATCCTTCTCCATTCTTTCCTTCAACAATTTTGTAAGGTTTTCTTTGTTGCTCAACACTTTTGTATTGACACCCTATCATTCTCTTAACTCCACTAACAGTGGTTGTTGGATGTAATGCTTCCATTCGTTTTGCTGCTTCTCCCACTAATATTCCTGTTGGTGTAAAAGAAACACAAGATGGTGTTGTTCGTTTTCCTTCAGCATTCTCCAGAATTCGAGGTGTTGTTTTATCAAAAACACACATACATGAGTTTGTTGTTCCTAAATCAATTCCAATGCAAGTTGACCGTGCAGGTTGTGAGACAAACATGTTAAAAATTCAGATTCTGTGAGAGAAAAATAACTTTCATTTTGTTGAACTTTTGGATAAATAGAGTTGAAAAGAAGATTTGATAATCTTAAAATCAAAATGAAAAGTAATGCAAAGAGAAGTACCACCTGAAATCATCCAATTACTTGATGGCATCAAGTTACAGAATGAAAAAATCTTTGAGATGCAAGAAGAACAAGTTCAATGGAATAAACAACATGCCATTAATCTCAAATCTATCTTGGATAAAATTAATGAGATGTATCAAATCATCCGAGACTTTAAAGAGACAAAAAGAAAGTCTATTCAACCAAATAACACCATTCATCCATCTCTTACCACCACACTCACTCCCAAATCAAACAATAAGCAATTAGAAATAAACACTCATGAAGGGTCAACAAAAAAGAAAAGTTCTAATCCTCTCATCAACAAATTATCTCATAATAACAAATTTAAAAATCAAGAAAACACACAAAGAACAAATGCATTGCAATCCTTAGTTGATCTTCAAGATAATCTACGTAAAAGAACAAAAGAATTATCAAAAACACCAACAAAACGACTTGAAATAGAAGATGTTCCTAATCAAAAGAAGTCCAGATTGAATTATAGTATATCAAGTAATGTCAATAACATACTTAAATTAGAAGAAGTCTTGATGAGTATTGATAGTGAAGAAGTGTTTGATCAAATTACTGAAGAAAACATTAAAAAGATGATTCCTTGCATTGTCAATATCTTCATTGTTGGAGATGACATTCAGAAAGAGTTTGTTGCATTGGAATTTGTCTGGGAAATCACAAGAAAACATGAGAGAATATTTGAGGGAACTGAAGGAGTTGTTCTAGCAAACAAACTATTACATTCATTACAACTCTTTTATTCAACACCAAACATTCAAAGAGATGATTGTCCATTGAATTCTGATGAGATGAAATGGTTATTTGAGTTTTTCATGCATTATTCTAATTGAATTTGTTATTTACATTCTCTTTTATTTCCATTTTGTATTTCTCATTGACTGAATCATTATGTTGAATGAACAAGTTTTGTTTCTTCTTTTTCATTCAACACCAAGGAAAACAATTATTCTTATGAATAAATAAATTGAAGTCAGATAGTTTGTTTCATGTCTTGATGTTATGTCTAATAAGAATGAACAGTATTAAAAGACTTTGTGGAGTTTTACTTCTTCATAAATAGAATAAATAACACTTGACTATTTATATGATTAATTCAAATGTATTATAAAGATAAAGAATGATTTGATGTAAGAAAATAAGTTATTCTCAAAATAAAATAATTGAATTGTGCAATGTAATGATAAAACAAACTATGAATAATCAAAATTAAAGTGTAATGATGTTTTTACTTTCATTAAATATAATTTCATTAAATAAAAGATGAATGTTGTTATGATTTTGAATTAACAAACAATAAAACAATAGAAATACTATAACAATATCAAAAATATACATAGTTATGATATAAGTTGTTAGATTTATTAGAATTTATGTAGTACTTGTATGTATATAATCACCATTTCAATTACATAAAACAAAGATTATTATTTGAATGAAATATTATTTAATTAACAATACGTGTGATTCTTTTAGTGTTGATTTAATAGCATCATTTTTAATTCAAATAATTCAGTATTTGTTTGTTATTTCATATGAGTTGATATATTTTTAATTGGTATGAACAGTTTGTTATCAACAACATAGTGTTTTATATTTTGTTGATAATTCATGAAGAAATAAAAGAGTGTTTGAATAAATTGAATTTTACAATTGAAAATATAGTCTTTCCATTGAAGCACTTCTTTTATTCATCATGAAAATACAATTATCTTCAATCATATCATGACATTCATTTCTTATACAACACAATTCATTTTCATGTAAAATATGGTGGTGTTTACATTAACCATTCTTATCAAAAAGAAGATGGTGTTATTAATGAATAAAAGGAAATGTTGATAGAATAACTATTAGTTGAAATGATAATAGTGATTAAAACTATTATTTACCTATTCATTGAACTTACTATTCTGATTATTCTAATAAAATAAAAGTATCTTCTAATTCTTATAAGAATGATAGACATTATTTGATATCATATGAAAGAACTATTAATCCTTTATCATCAAATAACTATTTCAATCAAATGTGTAAATGAATGGTTTGTTATTATATTTATAATGATATTGAAATAGATGATGTAACATCAACATTTTCAAAAACATTTACACCAAATGATGAAGATGATTTTAATTCATTTGTTGTAACTGTTACTGTGTCTTTATTATCTGATTATGTTTATTCATTATCATTACCAACAAACAATTATATCATTATTAATAACTATGTAACAAATGATCATATTATCTTTACTTATCCAAAATAGTGGATAAGATATGAATCAAAAAATCAAATAACTTTCAGTATCATCGGAAAGAAACAACTATCTCGAAGAATTCAATTAAAACTAACAATTGGAACATCAGATTCAGGAACAACAATAATTAAAGAAGAAACCACTAACACACTTTCATCTGTAATAATAACTACATCAAAACATCTATCTAGTATAAGTAAACAATCATTCACAAGAAGTACAACATATCAAAGTCAAATAACAATCAAAGGAACAAAAGAAATAATATTTGATGATTTTGGATATAGTAATTGTGACAAGTTAGTTTATAAAGAAGATTTAACACAGTGCAATCATTATAAAGAAGAATATAAGTTAACATCAAATAATCAATGTATTAAACATTCCCAGCTAACTATCAAATTAGAAATGGAAACACTTGTACCAAATGTGATACTTCTAAACAGTATTATTTAAATCCAAATAATAAACAATGTCATTATGATGATAAATGTACTTCTACCAATAGTTATGTACTTTTTAAATCATGTAAAGAATGGTATTATATAGATAATATAGATAAATGTAATCAATACTCGATTGATGTAAAACAGGAACTTCTTATTCATATTGTAATTCATGTATTAATAGCTATTATTTAAGAACAGATAAACTATTTTATACTGATTCAAATTGTGTTTCTAATTATAATAATGTATAATGTACATTATGTAAAGATTATGTATTTAACTAGTCATGAAAATCCATTTTATTCTAGAGAGAGGAAATATAAGAGTTTTATTATTAAAGATACCATAATGAAATACAGTTTAAAGTACTAAAACGTAACACTCAGAATTATTTGATAATAATACAGAAATACACCCCAGGAAAGTAAAGATGTGAGAGAAACTTATTATAAATAGTAGTGATCAGAGGGATGAAAAAGAAAAAATATAATTGAGCTAAAAAAGAAGAATTTTATCTGATCATCAGCAGAACATATCGGTATCAGTATAAGCAAGTAACAATATGTTCCCGTTCTACATGACGAGAACCACCCACCTCTTCCCAGGGTGTTCTCCACACACTTCCATCAACCATTACATATTCATCACACTCTTCCTCCCATTCTTGCCAATAAAAAATCTTATGCTCTTTGCGGTCCCACTTAGCCCACATAAAGTATTTCCATGTTGAGTAGCTCTCTTCAATTTCATGATTTGATGATCTGCCTCGAGAAATAGTGCGGCGTGATAAAACCTTACCGTAACCCGGAATAACTAGTTCACCATTTATCCTGGCAGCCACAACACCTCTTGGAAGAGTTGACAAACTAAGGGACATTACGATTATTGCTAAATTATCAGTTTAAATAGGAGTCATTAAGTTGAGTTTTGAACTTATAAACGTTGAACTGCAATTTTTCTTCTTTTTCAACCCGATTTCCCATGGGAAAATTCACTACATTGCTTTGATAAAAAAAGAAGAAATAAAAAGAAGAAATAAAATATTTATATCGTTCTAGTTTTATGTTTAAATATTCACTTATCCTTTCTTTCATTTACCCTATTTTATAATTTATTCATAACTTCTTCAATTTCTTTTTTTCTTTTTATGTTTATTTTTATTTAAACATCACTCATTATTCTTTTTTCATGATTTTACTCTTATTTTTATTTAAACATCATTCGTTTTTGTCGTATTTGTTTTTATTTTATCGTGATTTATTTTATTATTTTACCCCCTTTTTATTTGTTTGATTCTTTTTATTTTCATTGTTTTATTTATCTTTGTCTTTCTTTGAAAATATTAATGATTTTCTTATTTCTTATTTCTTTTATATTTTATATTTTATTCTTATTTACTCCATTTATTCTTATTTCATGTTCATTCGATGGTATTTTTAATTATTTATAATTTGAACGGCATTTTCACATTTATTTTACTCATTTGAAATTATCATCAGTGCATTATAATTAGAATTTATCAATATGAAAATAATAAACAACAATGAAATAAATGAAGATGAAATAAATGACAATAAATATGAAATAATATAAATATAAATAAGAAAAGAAATGACAATAATAAAATAATATTCAATGAATAAATGAAATATAGAGCAATGATGAAATGGTTAATATTTAATATTTCATTTTATTGTGAATTATTTTAATCAATTTCTTCTTTCTTTTGGTTGTTAATTTGAAATGATAAATAAACCATTAATAAATAATTGAAGTAAAGAAGAAAAGAGTATAGAAATAAATCAATCATTTGATTAATATAATCACACTTATTTATTAGCAAGAAATGAAAATATAACATGACATAATAAACATAAATTACAATAAATTGAATTGAAATATAATTATTTTAATTTAATCAATTATTTAACATTTCATTTATATAATATTTCAAATGATAATATATAAATAACAATAAAATGATGAAATTAAATATTTAAAATAAATGAATAATGTAATTAATAATTCAATAACATGATAAAAGAATAATAAAATAAAATTCATTTCTATTTCTTATTTATCTTTACTATTATATTTTTATTACTCTTTTATTTTCTTCCTATTCATTTTGTATATTTATTCTATTATTTTGTTTATATTCTTATAAAATTCTCTTTATTCTTTTTATTTTTATTCTTCATTTCTTATTTTATTTCTAATTTTAATATTCAATTATTTTAAATTAATTTCCTTCACTTAAACAATGACATATTCGTCATTATAATATATCTTTTTCAATACCTCATTCTTTTTCAATTCATTCGGACATCCTTCATAACATTTATATCCTATTTCACTAACACTTGTTCGTATATTAATAGTTGTTAATGATGTACATCCATAAAAACAATTATTTCTTATCACTTCAATATTCATTGGTATATTGATTTGAAGAAGATCATTACATCTAGAAAAACATTCATCAGCTATTCTATAAAATTTTTCTGGTATTTTTCTATGTCTTTTACCCTAAAAATAGTTTATTATTTTATAGTTATTTCGTCTTCTTTGAATAATGTTGAATGAAGAATTGTTATTCATTCTAAATTATTCCAGTGATGTTTATTATTCTTTTATTTTTATTTTATCATTACATAATCATAAAAATAGTATTTTCTTTCGTTTTCAATTATGTAAATATGAATATGTCGTTATTATTTATCGTATTATATTAAAATAAATGCTGTTTTATTGTTATTTATATATTTTCATCTCATCAATTATTTCTTTCATTTTCTGTTTGTTGTTTTATTTCATTTTATTCATTTTGTACATCTATCTTTCTTCTTTCTTTTATTATTTGATGTTGA